AGTTCGTATTTCCCGTATAACCGAATTCGGGATTAAGTAAAGAGAGTTAGAGTTACAGTGAAGAGAAGTTAAGTAAAGAGAAATTAGAATAATTAGCTTAAGCAAAGGTTTAGTCAGGTTTGTAAGGGGAAAGTAAAGTGAAAGGAGAGTATGTCGCGAGATGAGCGAAGGAGTGGGCGTGCGGTTACGTTGATGGTGTTGTTAAGAAAAATGAATTTATCTTGATGTAGAAAAGAAAAATCATGGATCTAAAAGAGGAAATCCTGAATTATATTTTACTAAGAAAAGAAAACTTTGAAGAAATTTCTTCAAAGTTCTTCTGAGCTACCCCAGCAACAAGTTCTGGGCAAGAATAGCCCTCACAGTACCTATCGTGTAGGAGGTGAATTAGGCTTATTTACTTTCTTCTTGTTCTTTGCCTTTATTTGCTTGCATATTGTTTTTCACACATCAATGTTATTAAAAATACAACGCTGCTTTTATCTCGAATAAATAACTTCAATCGACTTTCATAGCGTATTTGAAATTATAGCGATAAAAACCCATATCAACAAAACTCGAAAGATAAAACCTTTGAATATACCAATATGAGAATATTAAGACAATACATATAACTTAGGCATTAGGAAACCAACTTTTGACATGATTATGGAGAAAACGAACGACAGGTTTGCAACGCACGATGACTTCAGTAAGCATAGATGCCACTTATTTTATTTTGCGTTACGAGCCTCATTGCACAAAAATAAAAAACAGTTCAAATTGCATAAGCTAGGAGTAAGGACTAGTTTTTTATATTTTATTATACCCGCCGAAAGATGAGGCGTGTATTCATTTTGCCAAAATGTTTTCAACGTCTAGAAGAAAGCATCAGAGACTTCACCAAATATATATATTCTTGTCAGCATTAAATTATATGTAATGTCTGTGATAAACATTCTTCGGGCCACAAAAATGACGCTATCGACGATGGTTTTGAAAACGGGCCAAAACGATCGTGGGACCGGCCACAGCATCAGGTTTTCCAAAAGGGATGAAAAACTGGTTTTTTCTTCATTGCTCAGGAACTACAGCGAAAAGTGTACAAAAATTTGAACGCATATTCCGTGGGCCATACTGTAGCATTCGTGGTCAAAAATGGAAAAAATTAACCTCGCGTATCCAATATTATAATGTATTCAAATCGTACTTATTTTGTCACCTCCTTTATAAGACGCGGAAAGAAGCTTCAAAAGCTCCATAAAGTATAAATTCTACGCCAGTTTCAAATTTAAAATACAACTAAACATGTCCGCCTGTTCGTCTGTCTGTCTGTCTGTCTGCGCAGCTATGTGGTGAACATACTTTCGTTAGCGAAAATGAACATATCGCTTACAAACTTGCAAAAGAATTTGGAATTGACCTAAACTTTTCAAAGTACACGGCTACAACGCCCTGTACAAGAAAAACTTTTATTTTGAAAATAGAAGTTATCAGCTGCGCCCACTCCCTATTATAGGGCATGAAAAGTTTGGTCTTTTACTTCTTTTGTCGTTTTTAGGATACCGATGATGGGTATAAAAGATTCGGTGTCGACCGAATTTAACTTTCTTACTCTTTCATTTATATACAGCTGTTTAATTTTAGAATATACATAACAATAACTACATAATATAAACAGGCGCCGTGCAGAACAACTAATGCGTGATATGGAAGATTGGACAAAATATATCAAATAAATATGTGTAAGCAAACAAATATATAAACATGTAAATAAAATAAGTAAATTAGATAAAAATAAATACAATGAACTACAATATATTTTTTGATGAGTAATAAAAATTTATTTGATATTTCTTGATATGAAAATTGTATCAGAGATTTGTCAACTTATTTGGCAATTTCGAATTCTTCAAAATAAGCGAAGAAAAGAAACTATTAGTTAGGGGAAAAAGAAATCCATATTTTCGGTAGATAGCTGCACTGATAGATTTCTCGTAAAGTATCGATCAAACAATTTCCGATACTGTACATTTACATACTGTACATTTCGCAGTAAAAAAAATTCTTTTGCTGTTTTTTGTTTGGTGCATTCAGTTGTGAGTTACAGCGTGTTAAAAATGAAAGTGAACAAAGAGAAAATTCGGTACATTTCACAGTTTCTCTTTGACAAAGACGAAAATGCAAGCCAGGCGGCTAAAATTGTGAATGGTGTTTATGGTTCCGATACTGTAACAGCCAATTATGTGCAATTTTGGTTTCGTAGAATCCGTTCAGGAATTTTTGATGTTAAAGATGCACCTCGCACAGGTAGGCCGGTCGTCGAAAATGTCGATAAAATCGGAGAAATGATCGAAGTTGACCGGCATGTTAGCAGTCGTTGGCCAAACGGAATGAGATAGACCCATTTCTTAAACGGATGGTGACTGGAGATGAGAAATGGATCACATACGATAACCCTGTGCGAAAACGATCGTGGTCAAAGAGCGGTGAAGCACCTCAAATGGCCAGGAAGGTTTTGCTATGCATTTGGTGGGACTGGAAGGGGATTATTTATTAGGAGTTGCTTCCATATGGCCAAACGCTAAATTCTGATCTCTACTGTCAACAACTGGACCGTTTGAAGATAGCGATTGACCAGAAACGGCCAGAATTGGCCAACAGGAGAGGTGTCGTGTTCCACCAGGACAACGCTAGGCCACACACATCTACAGTGACTCGCCCGAAACTTCGGGAGCTTGGTTGGGAAGTTTTAATGCATCCGCCATACATTCCGGACTTGGCACCAAACGATTATCATCTTTTTCTTGCATTGCAAAATTTCTTTAATGATAAAAAATTGGAATCTAGAGAGGATTGTGAAAATCGACTACTAGAGTTTTTTGCAAATAGAGACCAGGACTTCTATTAGAGAGGGGCATTTTGAAGTTACCTTTAAAATGGCAACAAATCATACAACAAAACGGTGCATATTTGACCCAAATCGGACAATCCGAAGCATGTTAAATAAAGTCCTGAAGTTCATATAAAAATAATGGATTTCTTTTTCCCCAAACTAATATATTTGCTACGTACACGTCTGTTGTACACACAAACTTGAATGAGAATTGAAACAGAGAATTGTATATGTTTCCGTTTCGCAAACGTTCGAGAGAATGTGACGTCATATCATAAAACCATTTGGAGAAGCTTTTCCCATACAAATAACGAGTATGACCCTGTTAATTAACAGCGTTACTACTGGTATTCATAGCAGATACACAAGAAGTGCCTAACATTTTCCGAACGTCAATATCGAACAAAATGTTGAAACATCTGGATATTCCGTTGTCTTTGGTTGGGAAAATATTTCACATTTGCTACATAATCTTTGGATTTTTACGTGCGTAGGACATACGCATTTAAAAACACAGAACTGTCTAAGCGATTGATACAATGATTCTTTAAGTCAAGGATAGGAATTTTTGCCGATACAAATGAAGAGAATTAAAGCAATAAAATGCCTGTCTATTAACCGTGACACTACTGTTGTTGATAATAGAAACACGCACCAGAAAATTTAAAGGTGTATTTCGAACAAAGCGTTATGGTATCTTATCATTTAATTGTTTTTCTCCCTAATACTTCGCTTTGCTTTAAGATATCAAACATAGCAAAGCATGTGAAGTGCAATGCTAGAGTTTCATAACAAAATATATTCTTAATTTTTTTTTGTCCGTCCATAAGGTGCTTCTCACCTTTCGTATTCCTTCATAAAGCCAACAACTCACCTTCTTCTTATGTTATATTCATTTTTACATGTATTTATTTATTAAACATAATATGGTAAAATTTATATAATAAAATGTAATATTAATCTAATAATAATATTACAATTAACATTAAAAACAAAACTAAGCAAACTTACTCATATATACAATAGAATACTCGTTTACATGAGTGCATCGCTGCTGTCTTCACCCGCTGGACAGTCCTAACTTCAACCCATGCCGCTTTTTTGTCTCAGCTTACTTGTAATGAACATAACGGTGCTGCCGCCTCACTATTCTAAGCTGATGATAGTGTGGTTATTACGATTATTCTCTAAAGTTGTTGTGTTCCTCTTTTTTTTTTATATGATTCTATAGCAGTAATTATTATCCGTGATTTAGAGGCGATTTTCAAGAACGGAACGTTAATCAAACTTACTTAGATTTAAACTTTTATTTATCTATGGAAAAGGCAAATGTAAAACGTTTACTTTTTATTAATCTATGAAGTTAAATTTTCGCATTGTTACTCAAAATATAGAGGAGTTGCTGTGAAAAGAAGATTTTCTGCTCAAATCATTTTTAATAATACAAATTTTCTTACCGCACATTTTAAATTTATTCCCATAATTTTAATAAAATTTCAAAACAATTATTTCTTTCTTTTGGATTATGTATAAAGTTGTCTTAATTCGCTTGTTTTAGAACTTCTTTTAGTGGATTTCTTGCTTTCATTTAAGTCTGCTCAGTCAACTCCTTCAATTCTTGCATATATTTTTAGTTTATAAACTATACGAGTTGATTTTTAATAATATTCCAAAAGACGATGTGGCACAAATATTTTTAACAATCGAACCAACAAGTAATGAAAATTTACTTTTTAATTTTTCGATCAACAATTTCCTTTCACTTTGAGAATTTTTTTCATTCAAGCAAAAGAAAATGGTATTGGGCTTCTGTAAGCGTACCTTGGTATTGTAAGGCAAGTTAATCAATCGTATATGTTGTACGTACTCTTATTGATCCTATATTTGTAATCTGTCCGGAATTTCAAAATGCTTCCGGATAATATCAAACCCGATGCAAATGTTCGACGGTTATAATCAATGAAGAACCTCTCTTACCAAATGCTTTTGTTGTATAAAAGCCTGTAAAGCTAAAGTCTAAAATAATAATGTTGCATTAGATGTTTCTATTACGGCTTTTATTTTCTGACCTTTTAACTAAAAACAAATTTTTTTTTTAAATATCGAATTTTTCAAATTGTTAAAGCGAATCCAAATTTAAACGTTTCAAGCGGTACCACGGCTGACAGTGTTGCAGTGCAGCCGGATTTATCAAACGCTATTACATACGCAGTACATCGCAGTGGTCGTACAAAGGTGAACACGCGGAACAGCCTATTTTTAAATTGTTGCTTCTATTGCTTTCTATTTCAGAGGAAAGTGACTAAAACTGTCTTTACCTGGACAGTTGAAAATTTTCGTTTTTGGTACAATGAAGCCAATGATGTGAAAACAGACTTAAAGTCGCCAATATTTTCAATTGGTACCAACAAAGAGTCCAAATGGTAATGCAACACGTACATGTTTCTTACACTTAATGCTAAAATAAATATTTAAAAAATTTTTGTATTTACAGGTGTCTTCAAATGAAAAGAGAATATGAAAGACACCCTACTCTTGGACCACTAATACCAAGACAACCAATATATGCAGCAAGGCGACGCTTGGTTTATATGTATATCTCACTAGTCTCAAGCAATAAACCCGTAGTTCACGCCATGGCGAAAGTTGAGCTATTAAGTTCAAACAAAATAATCCAAACTATAGGACCATTAAGGCAGGACGAGTATTTTCTTTGCTTCTTTACTAAAGAGAATTTATTTTCAAATTTTTGTTTATTTTACAGTTTTAAAACAATTACTGAAGGGTCTGATTATACGAAAGCACCGCTTAACATAAATAATTTATTTGAATCGGAACTGACAATTCGTTGCGAGATAGACGAGATGGACTTTGTTAATACCTCTGGCCAGTCGAAAATAATGCAACGTAAGGTGACTGATACCAAATTGAGTAAAGATCTAGGAAATCTACTTGAAAATGGGAAGTTCAGTGATGTTACATTAGTTGTCTGTAACCTTGAAGTCAAGGCTCACAAGAATATACTAGCTGGTAAGTTCAAGAGGAAAGTATTGCTTATTATGGACAAATTCTTTAAAGAAATCCTTTGCCCATGCGTTTCAATTTCAAATCTTCAGTGTAAGTTGGAATTGGGCGCATTTCGCTTAATGGTTTATTAGAGAATATTTTCTTAATGTTGCCAACCTTTCATCTACTATCTGTTGTAGGTACCTGTAGATCTCTTTTTGAAACCATAATTTTTTTATTCATATGCGAATTTTTGATCAAGTTATACATAATGGTCCATATAATCATCTTAAGCTTTCCTACAAATACTTGTGGCCCCAAAGAAAAGACAAAAGTACTGCAAGGCATATACTTCCTTAGTTTATCGCCAAAAAATTAGACTCAATGTGTAAGTGACTCGGCTGCAACAACCTTGCAAGAGTCCAAAGGGATATTGTAACCCACACTTGATAAGCGTGATTTATTTTCTTTATCGTTTCAATACTTTGAGTCAATTCAAAAATTTTCACAACAAACCGACTTATTCTGACAAAAACAATTGATTTTCAATCAAGATAGTGGGCTTTTATTTGTTGCCTTGCAACTTTACACATTTTTTATTAAACTGTAAATTTCCATTGAAAGCTCGCAGTGACGTCTTTGCTGCCATGTTTGAACATAATATGGAAGAAAGCAAACTTAACCGAGTCCTCATAGAAGATATTGATTATAATGTATTAAACGAAATGCTAAAATTCGTCTACACAGGAAGAGCGCCTAATATAGATAAAATGGCTCATGAATTGTTACTAGTTGCCAATAAGGTAAAGAAACTAAATGAAACTTTCTCTCTCTATTTTTCAATATTAAACCGTTTATTTTTTTGCAGTACGCCCTGGAAAACCTTAAGAAAATGTGTGAAGATGTCTTGAGTGCTAAGCTTTCTGTAGAAACTGCTGCCGAAACGCTAGCATTAGCTGATGTTTATAATGCTGGTCAACTGAAAGCACATACGGTGGCTTATATTAAAAAGTAAGCAGAGACTCACAGCATTTTTATTTTTAGAATTTAAGAGAACTTCATTAAAAAGGGATTTATACTTATAGTTATAAGGTGACCAAATGTACTCCTTTAGATGGCATAGTAACCCTTCTCAAAGCTTCTGCTATTAGTTGGATACGGCCAGATATAAGCGAAATTGGTGAACACAACAAATCATCCCCTTTCCAAATTTCTTTTAATTTTAAAAATTTTAGTATGACAAGTAAAACACATTTTCGGACAAGGAAAGCGTATAAAAAAGGGTGTTTTCATCCATTTTCATCTGACGAAGCGTTAGTTCCTAAATAAGGTGTCACTTACCAAATATTTTGTTTTTCCCCTAAAAATGTCCTGAGAACCTTACCATTGCCTAAAACTCTTTTTTCAAAGTTAAAAAAAAACACGTTTGAAAAAGCTTTAGAAAGCCGATTAAGCGCGGACGATGAAAAAGTAAATCTAGTAGTGAAGATATCAGCGGTGGCTTAAATATGTCGCAAATGAATGGAGAACAAGTTTGATGTTAATTTATGGAAAGCTGTGTGAAGTTTGTGGGCACGACTCGTTAGTGGAAGACATTAGCTCTATGAATTACTGTATAAATGAATGAACATCTTCTTTTACGTCCTGTTCTCTTAAAAAATGTGATCAAATCTACTAAATAAAAGTAGCAAATTCTCTCTTTGGAATAAGCGAATCTATCTATGTAGCGCTTATCCAAAATAAATGGAAGAAGCAATTGCAATGTTCGCTTTAGTCAGACTTTTTAACACGTGACTCATTCTACTATTATAAACATGCCATAATGTGGCTGAATAATTTTATAAAAACAATTATTCAATATGTTGCCCAAGCGTGTTCTTTTCCACGGTTAAAGCAAGATATATTGAATCTTCCCTAAGTGAGCCATTCTCGATTATAGGTTTTAGATAAGCTTTGCGTTATCAAAATAATAACTTATGTAGGCAATAATAACTTATGTTTTTCAATTTCCTTTTCGGAATTTAACTCTTGTCAATACATATCAAAATTTTATTCACTTTAATCTCTTTTATCTTCCTTTTCTTTCCTATAGCCATCTCACCGACGTTATGCAAACACAAGGTTGGCAAGATATGATTGCAACGCGTTCATATTTAATGGCTGATGTGTTGCATTCTTTCGCTAACCAACAAATTCAAACATAAAATCACCAACTAAAGGAATGAAGCTCTCAAACAATCGTTATAGCTTTAAAAGCTATAGTTATTTAGATTTAATCAATAAAAGGAGTTTTATCTGTTACTTGATGTGGAATAAATTACATAAAAAAATATTTTGAAAGGTTTTAATGCGTAAGAAACCATCTCAATATTATGGCATTGTTAAGAAAGGCAGAATCTGACGTCTTTAAGCAGTGGCCTTTTTGAATATACAGACCATTTGACTGTACTACATTGTATCGTCATCGTAGATAGGTACCTGTGCAAAATTTCAGCATCATTTGATATTCGAAAGTGTAATATCAACCAACAGCGTTACGGAAACATGTGTAAATTGTAAATCAAGTGAACGGATGTGAACATATATATATAAATATACATGTGAAACAAAATGGTTTAACTCCAGTACCCACATTATAAGGGATAACATTTTAAGGTTAATATAGGAACGCACACTAATGTTTCACTCGTTTTTCGATAATATTTGAAACGCCCAAAAGCGAGGTTCAAAGATTTTATAAAGTATATATGTTCTTCATCATCATGAAATTCTAAATTGATTAAGCCATGTTTGTCTTTTTGTGTATCGTTTATCTGTGTGTCCTGCTGTGTGTGTTGTTGACAGTCTGCCAAGTCAACCAAGCTCAGCATATCTTTCTCAAAATGGGTTAATTTTGAAGCTAATATGGAGGAAATTACGACCTGGATACATCTTTTCTTAAATATGGAGACTAAAATGCGACAAGCTAAGTGTGTTAACTCTAAATTAATCGTAGTGTACGACGCCCCGTGGAGCATAAATTTGGAACTAAAAGGTGAAGAAATTAAAAGCAACAGCATAGGGCGCTAAAAATGTTAATAGTGTTGGGTATGCGACCCTGCTGAATATAACTTTCTCATCTATTATATATCATTTTACATTTTAATAGATAATTTTTTTTTATAATTTAATTTTTGTTCTAAAGTAGTTAGTAGCCGTCTCTCGAATTCGAATTTCGATGCTAAAACCAGTTGTATTATGCAGGTATTGCAGATTGCAAGTAAATCGAAAATTTTGCAAAATATCGATATATAGAACTTTAATTGGTCCTCTTTTGGAACCATGTTTTCGATTCTCAACTAATTAACTTTTAATTCAGGTAGAGTTTCATAATAACATTCTCTAATGTAAAGATGTGAATTTTTGATTAGGTTAGTTTAACCGACGCCTTTTTATAGATACTCTTGGAAACCAAAAAATTTTTACATAAAAGCGACGTTATTTTCAAATCAATATTTTGAAGCTCTCATTAAACAATTTTTTAAGGATGTTATATTGCATAGCTAGAATAAAGTTTTAAAAATTCTATAAAGTACATGTGTTCTCGATTTTCAAGATCTTTGGATCAATTTAGACATGCTCATCTGCAAATTAACTTACAAACATATTCTCGATCGGAAAAATAGACAGGTTTAGATTTGTCAAAACTATTAGAACGACGAATCAGAGGACGCTCCTACAATAAACTGGTGATAAATTGGTTGCACTTGCAAGACCAAGAAGTTGGGAAGTTTTTTTCATTATTCATAAACTACAAATAGTATAGCGATAAATATACACACTCATATTCAAAGGAAAAATCGGCAATGCCTATCTAATATTATTGAGTAGAAGAATTGAATTTTCTTTCAATTTTTGTTTTTCTAAGATAAATGCAGCGACTATAGAAGAAGAAAAAGGAGAAAGAATGTGTGTCAGGACAACATTTCTCTAAACGTAGAAACGTATTCAGATTAATAGCCAGCAACTTAAATGTTGGAAGATTCTAAGAAAAGAAGTCTATATTCTTCGTGATTCATTTCGTGCAACTTTTGCAGCTGGTTTGTTGTTGTTGTTTATGACAAAGACGATGCGTTTTGAAATTTCAAATAGATAGAGAGTGAAACGGATGGGAAAATGAACCAAGCAGTTTTATATTGGTATGCTTAGATGTACTTTTTATAAAGAGAAGGCAAGGCAGTTCTTAAACGAAATTTAATTTCTAAATTTAAAAACGGCTACTGGTTCATCTGCTCATAGTAGGAAAGAAAGGGCCATAATATGTATTACGAATAAAAAGTAATATGTACTTGGATATGAAGGCAAAAGAGACGACGAGCTTAAATATATTAAAAATTTAACCTATTGTACAAATTTGATTAAAAAATGAACTTAGGGAAAAGAAGAAATTTTGATATCTTTAAGTTATAGCTAAAAGCAAAAATTTTTCCTTTCTTCATATGTGGACAAAATATGGCACTGACTATGTATAGCTTTAGCTAGATTTCATGTGCGAGTCTCGACATGCTGCATACACAAGAGGTATGAGAGACGTCCTCTCAAAGCTGTTAAGTCAGACGTAGGTAAAATAGCTCACGCTTGGCGTTACTGTTGGTTGTTTGCGTTTATAAGAGAAAACAGCTGAAAATTGAAAATAAAATAAATTGCAAACAAAGTTGTTTACTTACAAACAGCTGAACCAAAACATGCAATTTCAAAATTTATTCAATTTTTAATTTTTACTTTTTGTCTAAATAATACGCTTAATTCGCCAAAGCTTGTAATCTATTTCGTATCATCAATCTTCCCACACATCATCTATACTCTTCTATCGCTATCATTGATAAAGCGTGAAGGATCAGCAAACAATAAAAGCTCACATATCACTCTGTTGGCTATGGTGGTCTTATCTATAGCAGGGCAAATCCATTTCACTAAACAAACCAAAAACAAATAAATAAGAAAATTGCCTTCGGCCGGCTTACACAAATATATTTGATACATTTCGTCCTATCTGCCATATCACACGTGAGTTGTTCTGCACGGCGCCTATTTATATTATGCAATTATTGTTATGTATATTCTAGTATTAAATAGACACATAAATGAACAAGTAAGAAAGTTAAATTCGGTCGTGATCGAATTTTTTATACTCGTCACCGTTATCCTAAAAAAAAACAAAAAAGTAAAAGAACTAAATTTTTATGATTAAATGATGAATGACACAGCTGATTTTTTCTATTTTTAAAATAAAACTGATCGTCACGTAGGCATTTGGGCGTTGTAGACGTGTTCTCGCAAAAGTTTAAATCAGTTCGAAAACTTTGGCAAATTTGTAGGGGATATCTTCATTTTCGCTAGCGGGAAAATTACCACAAAGAGAAAATTGCGCAAACAGACAAATGGACTGACGAAAAGACGGACGTGGTTGTCTGCATTCCAAATTTGAAACTGGTCATGGATTTATATACTATATGGGGTTTTTGAAGCTTGTTCCTGCGCTGTGTAAAGCTATTAGAAAAAAAATTAAATTTTGATACATTATAATATTTGGCGGGCACGGTACTCTCATCCTTCGGTGATGGATATAGAAATGAGGGAATGAAATAAATAAGTCGCATTGCTTCAAGAAAAGTGATCAATGGAGTGCGTGCGCGCACAGCTAAGCAACATTGCAAATAATTTGACGTCGACTAGAGAAACATTATTTAACTATTTTTTTGGTCATCTAAGTAAATTCATTTCAGTAACCGCCACAGGTTAATTATAACAAAACAAATTGAGGTAATGCTGACTTTTACAATAAGAACAAAAAATTATTTTACTTAACTTAAAAATTTCTTTTGTACTACATGCTGTCACACCGTTAGCTAAATATCGAAGTAATCATTCCGTATTAAGTTCATTACTGCTATAAAAATACCACCACCGATGTAAAAAACGACCTCCTTTGATTTGAATTGGCCTGTGATTCAATATTTACGAAATTGATCTACGAGAAATTCATATAATAAATCAAAACTTTGTGGGTTTATTCTCATAGTCTTTTGAAATTTCTCATTATTGAAGTCGTAAGGGACATATTTTCGCCGTAATCCCCTCACCGGCAACCCAGACGTTTCTTCTCACAAGTAAATTTGTTGTAGAAATAGATTACCCTCTCACTTGGCGTAAAATTTATGGTTCGTGTGCGCAAAATAGGGCGACAGCCTCACCTATGTTTGCATTATTCCTCACGATGTGTATTTATTCCTTATTTAATTCCAACAATTTATATTGAATTAATTTAATTCTTACAATTTAGGATTTTTTTAACCGACCACTTCATTTGTTTATCCCGTGATCCCAAGTTTACTATATGAGGATTGTGAAAATTACTTTTTTTATTATATTTATATTAAAATAATATATAACGTTTAGTGTATTATTAATTAAGCGAATTAGTGTAGGGCCTTGCACGACTATAGCAGTCTTACTTATTATCACAATATTTGTTGGTTAGAATAAGTTCGTAAGAGTAAATTGACAAGGAAATCGACCTTGCCGAATTTGAGCTGAATTTGGTAGGTCTATTTTTGGATTCCACCGCCTATAAAGATTCTCAGAAAGTGTAAAAAAGTTTGTAATTCCAAAAGCTCTAATTGTTAATTTTTTGTGATAAAAATTGGTTCATGGTAGTAATTTGATATAAAATTAGGTGGACCACATTTGAACCACACGAGGGCAAATTTTTTTGAAATACATATGTTACCCGCAATATGCTGGGCTTATAAACTGCGCATATAAAGAGCGCATGTACCAAAGAGCCTTTGCTACTCACCAATTTTCTACATAATATACAATAATGTGATAGGTATATTAAGGTAAAAATTAGAAAAATGTTTGGAACTTGACAGTAGTGTGCTCGACAGTAGGTGTTTTCGAGTTTGATAAGGATATAGCGACTAACTTTGCTAATTACGTATGCACACAAATATTCCTAAATTTTGTATAAATATTGTCTATTCTTTTCAGAGAGAGAAGACGAATAGATTGATGTTCTTGTTGATTCTCCTCACTGTTTCTTTCTGTTCGTTATAAAGGGTTTTGCCTCACACACAGCCAAAATCCATATTGCGAGTGCAAACTCGAAAACTTTATCGATTTTATTCGAAAAATCCGCACCTACTTGTTGTTGTTCCATAATCATTTCAACAAGCTGTAATTGCTGTAACTGAACCTTGAG